GCAAGCGGCGCTGGTCAGCCCAGGGGGCAAAGCCCTTCCTGAGGGAGCCCTCTTCCCTCTCTGGGGGAGGCTGGGGAGCTTGGCCCCTTCTGCTGCAAGTAAACAGGTTATTGGCAAAGTGTTGAGCACCTCCAGGTTGCACATACAAAGGCTGCTTTGGGCCCAGAAGGAACTGGGGGTGTTTGGAAACCTGGGGAGAGGTCTGCCTAGAGGAGGGTGCTTGTTCCTCCAGAGGAGAGGAACAAGATGTTCATGCAGTAGCCCTGTGCGGCGGCTGCTGCTGGGGAGGAGCCCTGCTGACTCAGCTGGGTGACACTTTAACACTGAGCTGTGAAAGGTAGGACTTTGCTCCCCAGAATCGACCTGGAGACACTTAAATGTTGGAAAGCTTGCAAACTGTTGGTTTTCAGCCTTGATACTTCCCTGAGTACCCATCACTGCTGCTGGGATCGAGCTCAGCTGTGGGCTGAGTGGCAAACGTCCGCCTGGTCAAAGACTTAAGGAAGCAGCTGCATGCTGGGGTCCTGAAAACTAGATGAGGATGGGCTGGTGCCTGGTTTATTTTTTTTAAATCTGCTGGATGCACGTTTTGCACTCTGTATGTACCTTTACAGAATATATGGGCTTTGCATTAGCTAGCTGATGAACTCTTGCCCATCCTGAGATTGTGTCCATCTGAAATAGGCCTCTGGTGCCCAGCAGTGATGACAGAGATGGGGTTTAACACCTTGATTTTGGGAGCACTTGTGCTCTTCATACCTGCAGTCCCTGCACCGCGGATCTCCAGCTCTTCTATCAGTCAGAAAGTGCCCTCCTGCTTCTCCTGGTGCCATCTGTGCCCCAGCACAGCGTGGGACCTTGCCAAGCTCAGGGCCGGCGGCATCGCTCTGCCAGGGAGCGCTGGGCCAGCCCCGGTGCCACGGGCAGCAGAAGGGCCCTGGTGCTCCGGTCCCTGCAGCCGCAGCGCGGAGCGAGGGCCCGTGTGCGGCTGCTCTGCCCGCGCTCCCCGAGAGGGAGGTCACCAGCGCTCCCCGGCGTCCTGTGCCCGAGCCATCCCGCACCGACCCTGCCAGCTGCCCTGCCTTAGCCGTGTCCATCTCCTGGTCACTGGGGCTGTGTCTCTCTGGAAGGGAGGAGCAGGGTGTCTTTTTAATGAAGGCTTTTTTTCATTAAGTTAACATCTGAAAGAGTGAAGCTTTTAACTGACATACCCATTGCTGTTTAATCTGTATTAGATCCTTGCTATTGTTGGATCAGACACTTTTTTCTTTATAAAGCATATTGCCTATGTGCTCTCTGTGGCTCAAGAAATCAATTGTAGCAAAAATGCTGGTGTAACTTCCCTTACGAATGATGACTTGCTCTATTTTGATTCAAGCCAACAGCTTGAGCCTTTTCTTCATGCAGAAAGCAACCCTCTCCGAAAGCAGAAAACCTTCAAACCTGACAGAGGATTTTTCAGGGAGATGCTCGGGTGATGAGGTTTAAATTGGAGAACATAGTTGCCGGCCTGTTTGAGTCAGCTGGATGCTGATGCCTTGGGAGTCGGAGACGGTTCCAAAGCCCCATCCGGCAGGTGGGGGGTCCCAGCAGCGATCCAGCCCTCACCTCAGCCCTCCTCCCGCAGGAGGAGGCCCGGGAAGGAGGGACTCTCCTGAACTGTGGCCAGCAGCAGCCTCTGCCCTTCCACAGGCACCTGGGGCTGTTCAGCAGGTTCCATCTCCAGGAACCCAGCCCCGGCAGAGCCGGTCGGCTGCCTTCAGAGGGGCTCGGGGTCCCCTGGGCCCCGCGTCCCCTCCCCAGGGCTGCGGGAAGACACAACCACTTGATCCTCCCGAGCTTGAGCTGGGCTGCCTCGCTGCCCTCTGTCCAAAAAGAGTGATTTGGTATGCTCAATTACAGCCTGCTGTTAATTGTGATACAACTAGAAATTATTCCTCAAAATAAGCCACTTCTTGCTGCCATGGCTTCCCAACATGCAGGGTAAGCGGGGCTTGTGCTGCTCGCCGGGCTGGGATGGGAGAGGGTTTCAGTGCTCCAGGGAAGCCTTTCGCCTGAAGGAGGTGGGCCCCGAGCTCCGGCTCGGCCGCACGTGCGTGTGTCTTAATCCTGACCTGGAGCTGGTCTGTGAGCATCGGCTGGCGGCAGCGGAGCAGCTGGGGACACACAGGAACCCCTCCTCGCGCTGCACCTCGCTCTCACGAGGGCAGGAGGGGGTGTGGGGGTGTCCTGTGCTTGCGCCTCGACCCACCAGAGCAAATGAGTCCCCCGAGTGGGTGCGAGCTGGGTCCTGGCACATCCACACCCTTGGGATGCAGGGATCTCAAAGACACATCAGCTTCCTGCACTCGGCTGCAGCGGTTAAATCTGAATTTGTGAATGGCTTTATTTGATCCAAAACTTCTTTTTTTTTGTTGTTATGAATAAGCGCTTGGCTTCAGGAGAGCTTTCTTGGCTTTCCTTTCCACGTGCAGCTTAGCGCGGCGGCTGCGGGTCACGCCGTTGTCCTGAGTCAGTCGGTCTGTTATGTGTTAGTTACTCATACGTGTATCGAGGCCACCGCCATGCCCAGAATGTAGTTTTAAGCCACTGCTCCATCTTGGAGATTTCTTTTTTTTAACAGAAACCTCTGTATTTTTCCAGCAACAGAGTGAGACTGTATGAGAGACAGTGGCTGTGTGGCTCCTCTTGAACACACGTTGAGAGCCCCTGGGTCTGCTCAGGAGGGTGCTTAGAACAGACACCTGGGCTGCGGAGCCCCGTGCTTCCCGGCCGGGGACGAGCGCCCATGGGCACGTGGAGCTGGGCAGGCTGGACAGGTTTCCACGTAGAGCATCAGCTGTTCTAGAGCAGTTTGCCATCTGCTCCCCTGAGGAGAGAATCCCCCATCTTTGCCCCCAGGTCATGCTGGCGAGCAGCTGCAGCTCGGCCTCATCCCAGTCCCTGCAACAGGGCACTGTCTGCCCTTGCAACGAGGCCTTCCCTGGGAGGTTGTTTGGCTTCAGGCTTCTGCTTCACTTCCTTCCTCCAGGTGTGAAAATCACAAACAATGCAACTGGCCTGAGGGCTTGCTGTTACCTCCTCAACAAAAAAATGCGTTTTTTTCCTGTTTAGACCGACTATTCTCAGTCTGTAATCTGTCTCCAAAGGGTCAGCTTTCTGTGAAAACCATTTGAGGGATATTCTGCCCAGTCCATGGACTCACTGAGTTGGGAGGTGTAAGATAATAAGCCTGCAAGTGAGCTTGTTGTGTGTTCTTGGAAATCTTGCCATGCATCACAAGGCAAACGAATAGATTCTCCCACAAGATTAAGTATAAATTTATACTGTGCCAACTATAGGTAATAGAGCCTTGTTGTGAGACATCCCAGTTTCTGAGGAGCAGCGTGATTCTGCTGAATGCTGAAGGAGTTTATGAACCCAGTCACAGTCCCTCTCTGGAATACAGGTTTTCGGGTAGATGTTTGTGGTGCGTTGAATCAGCTCTTTGAAGTGTCAATTGTATGGGCCATACTGAAGATCGTTCTGGATGCTGAGTCTGGGCAAATCACTGTCGCTTTTGGTTCCGTGCCCGCAGAAGAGGTGCTGCTGCGTTTTCAGCAGTGCTGGAAATGTGATCATCTTCCTGTGTTCTCTGTTGGTGCTCTTGGCTGACTGTCCTCTGTATTTGCAAGTCACAAACCTCAGCTGTGAGGGGTTTCTAAAGGTCTTTGAGCTTTTGCTTCATAGCATCCATCCTGTTTGTCAGGAACACGGCTTTGAGCCTGTGGTTCTGACTGGGCCACGTTGGCTGATTTGGTGAGGATGTGTGTGTGTTAGGGCTGTCAGACTCTTGCACTGGCTCAAACTGAGTTGTGTTTGACGTGTGGTGCAGTGGTGCTTCTGCAGTTGAAAAGTGTAAGTGTAGATCTCCGTGCTGTTTTTTCATTCATTTCTGCATCACTGAGTTGTTTCACGTGTATTCTGGTTTCTTGACTTGATCTTGAAGACAAGTGGGTCCTCCCTTCGAACTCTTTCAAGGCTTCCACTCCGTAGCCTGACTTAGAGGGCCGGTGCAAGTACCTCTTGTGTGCAGGGATGAGGACGTTACGTGCTCCAGGATGGGGACTTCTCGTCTTCCCTAGTTTTTTGATGGATGGGCCCATCCCTCTCCAGTAGCTGTGTCTCTCCAAGCCTGGCGGGATGACAGCAGTGTAGCCTGTCATGCTTGGGTAGCTTTGGCACCCTTTGGGGGCTGCCATTTGGAGTGGGTGGTTTTGCACTTCTGGACGCAGCGCAAGCGTCTCCCACGCTCTTCCCACCCGAGGGCTGCTCAGCCGTGGTCGGGTGCGCTCGGATGCAGCCACCTTCGGGGGCTGCCTGGTCCTGGGAGAGCCACGGGCCGTCCCGTGACCCGCGGTGCTTCTGTGGCCTGGAACGAGCAGAGTTCGGGGTGGGCAGGGGAGCCTGGGGCGGGGGGTCCCGGGGAAGGGGGGCATCATTCAGAAGGAGGTGGGGACGTGGCTGCTCTGCCTCTTCATGAACACGTGACCGGGCACTGCGGCAGCGGTCGGTGTCTTGAGCAGCTCCAGGTACTTGGAAAAGCTTCTGTATGGCTTTGCTCTCAAGGGGGAAATAATCCTATTTTATAGATTGTGCTTGAAAAGTGGAGGCAGATGTTCCTCACGTGGCTCTCTCTGTAGGGACTCGTGGCAGATTAACCTACAGTAACCCACCCCGAACCGGGACTTAAAAGTCTTTAAGCCAGAGACTGAAGATTTATTATCATCACTGAAATTTATATCACCTCTCTCCTGGAGCAAATTCCCACTCTTTGGGTTTGTTAACTTGAGGAGTTTCTTCCAAAGCTGTAGCTGCTGCTGTTTCTGCCTGCTGGGCCAGCTGGGAGCAGAGGAATTCCCGGCTATATTTAGAGGAGACCCGGAGCATATGCCTCGCTGATAATGCCGGTCCGTGCCGTGCCGCCTGCAGTAACCTCTCCCTCTTTCACTTTCTTCAAGGTAACGGAAGATAAGAGCACAGCTGTTCTTCTAGAGGGTCACGAAGTCTGTAAACATCCTGACATGCTCCCCAGGAGAATCTGGAGGTTGCCGTGTGTGTGGCAGAAGGACGAGTTTCCTCGTCAGATTGCACTGCTTTTCATCTGGGACAGGTGACAGGCACCGGGACTTGGCATTAGGTGGCTCTTCTGGGCTGAGCCTGGCGGGAGAGTCTCGAGGATATCTTACCCTAGAGTGAGACTCTGACGAGTCGTACGGCAGTGAACTAGGAGAACAGCAAAAACCACAACTCGGAATGTATTTATTACTTAAAACTTAGCTATTCTTGATAAAATCCAAAAATTTACTGCTGCTGCTTATTTTACTTACAGATTTCACACACTTGTTAATTTTAAAGCTACCAAACTGTACTCTGAGAAATGTAATTGGAGCAGGACATGCAATAGAACGAAATCATTGTAGTGTCTTAAGTACAATGGACTCACTTTTGTGTCTATTAAAACTTGGAAAATGTGCAACACAGAACTATGTGGCTGTCCTTGCCTGTGCTAAAGCTTTGTCCTGGCGCTCAGTGCAGAGCTGAGCCATTCCGTGTTCTCAGGTACGTGAAGAACCGCTCGCCCGGTGGCGGGGGTGGGTGTGTGTCCTGAGCCTCTGGGGCCGGGCTGGCTCACGCTGCGCGCGGAGGTCGGTGGTTAGACCTGTGCCTCCCGCAGTTAACGTTTGGAATGGACTTTTGTGCTCGCACCTAGCCAACAAAGGTAATTTAAGGCCCTGTGAACACATGTTGTTGGACAGGAAGGATTTTCATCTTCTCACGTGGCCAGAAATGATTAGCGGCCTTTAAAAACCAGAAAGCCTACAGCTTTTGTACCACATTTAGAGTACAAATGGTTTACAAACTAAAGAGACCTCCTACCGACCAGCTTCTGAAACGCTATCGGTTAATTGTTTTGGTTTTGCGATAGTCTAGCTTCCTCTTGGATTCCTTCAGTCTAGAAACATTAATTTGTGGCTAATCTGATGTTGGAGAAAACAGTTCAGAGCTGTCCCTGCTAGGTTAAATGTTGTCTGCGTGTAGAAGTGGCCGTCGAGCTCCAGGATCGTTGCAGGTTCTGCTTCCTGTTTGTTTGTACCCCGTTGCAGCAAACACTGATGAACTCTTGTCGAATTCCAAGAACGAGCAGAGCTTCCCTTTTCTGTTTAACAACAGTTTAACAGGAAGAGTTCAGCACCAAAAAGCCCCTTCTGCCGAGCCTCAGGAGGAGCACACGATGAGTCAAATGTGTTTCCCTCAGAACAGTTGGAAGGCTGTGGTGTGAAGCACGCAGACCAGAGCGCAGTGCTGAAGGAGGACATCTGTCTCCCAAGACCGATTTTGGCCACCTCTGCAAACAAATCAATAAGCTTCCTGTTTTCCAAAAATAAGTGTAAGAAGGACAGCAGTATATAGGGAAGGGATGTGCTCTGCACTTTGTGTAAAGCCTTTGTGCAGCAGCTGTTTACCTGGGCACCCGCTGCGCCCATCTCCGGCGCAGAGGGCACGGCTGGCAAAGGTGCTCTTGTGCAGCGCGCGCCTGCTCGCCGAGAAAACAGTCCTGCCTTTCTTAGCCCCTGTCTGTCCATCTTCAGCAGTTTCTTTGTGGGTTTTTCTTTTCTAGCATCTTCTCGAGCTAGGCCTTGGGTTAGCTGATGGCTCTGTGAGGTAGTTTCTGTGTTTTCTGCTTACACAGTTCTTTATTGTACAAAATCCCTGCCAAAAAGTGGTGCCAAGCTTTTTGGCCGTAGTATTACAGCAGCTAGCTGAAGGATGTTACAAGCAGCCTTCTGTTCATTTAAAAAATAAAATTAAAGGCAAAACAAAACTAACGAAGCCCCCGCTCCCCCACGCTCGGGAAAGGCGCTTGTCTGCTCCCCCCTCAGCCAAGGGCTGCTCCTGCCTGCGCGGGAAGGGCTGCTCCGTGGTTGACAGGGGTGCCAAGAGCAGCAGGCGAGGCCTGGCCGCTGTCCCCAGGAGGCTCGCAGATGTCACCCGAGCCCCACCAACAGGCAGGAACGTCCCGAGGACCAGGCGTTCAGTCTGCTGGGCGTGAGGAGCCTCACGGAGCCCCGCACTCAGGGCCGCTGGTGTTCTCTAGGCCTGGAAGGGAGGCGGGTTGTGAGGGGAAGCGCGAGCCCAGCGCCTGTCTGCCGCCGGGCGCGTGCCCCAGGACGGAGCTGTTCGAGAGGGGGTGTCCCAGAGTTCTTTCCCCACCATCATTTGGCTCTGCAGTACGACTCTGGCCTGGCAGATGTTCAGCTGCACAGTGGAAACCTGTCTGCCCTAACGGTCACCGTCGCCTTGTGGCCTCAGAGCAGCGGTGGCCGCATCCCTCCAGACCCCTGGTGTTCCCTCGCAGGTTGCCGTGTCCCGCCAGGCCCCGTCCCCCAGGGCCCTCCGGAAAGCAAACTGGGCTGAGACTGCCTGAGGCTCCTCGCCAGCGCCCCGAGGGGGAAAATACCCGTGTGCGCCCTCGCCAGGTCCTGTGTCGGCTCTGGGGGGTTCCAGGAGCTGGTTTGGTGCCGTTTTCTGCCGGGAGGGCTGGGGAGGGACCCTCCGCCAAAGGGGATGGGGGGTGGCACGTGCTGGGACTCCTTTTGCGCCAGTCACCCTTGTGACGGCCGATGAGCGTGTGCCCGTCAGCACAGCTCAAAGGGTGAAGCAGTGAGTGGAATTTAGGCACTGCAGGTGAGTCACTGGATTTTTGCCACGTTACTAAGAAGTGCCACGGAGTTTCCATAAAAACAGGATAGCAGAGAAGATGGTGCTTAGGGGGCATGTGAGTGGATGGGACGCTGGGGGCCTGCTCTGAGCTTCAAACAGTGCCCTGAGAAAAAGCACAACTCTGGATCTGCATCTGGGAGCTGAAGGAGCTGGCTCGCTTCACTTCAGTGAAAAGATGATTCTTTGGTTTTGGCAAGGCTTAAAGCAAAAATCTTGTAACCAATTGCATTTTTTACCTCCGCTGTAATGCAGATAAATGAAAATAATTTCTCAGCAAATGCAAGAGCATAAACCAAGAGCACTGTGATGTTTCATTTCCTAACTGATTTTTAAAAGCTGATACAGAGGTTTCTAGATGTCATTTTTAATAATGCGAAGTTTGAATGCTTTACTTTAGTCTTTTATTCTGTCAGAGGATAAGCTCTGTTGGGTTAAAACCTACACAGCAATGTTCAGGGATAGCAAGTGGTCTTCAGTATTCTCTGTCATCGGTTCAGTACTACCCACCGAACGTCGTTAGCAGATTCCTGTGTGCCGTGAAACTTCACATTTTGTTCCAGTTTTAAGGTTTCCTTCCTTATACTTTGAAAACTTGTGCATGGCTTTAGGAAACGTGGGCTACCTTCAGTCCATTTCAACTCTACTTACATGAAAGGCTTATTACAGTCTCCCCTGCTCTGCACTGTGGTTTTGGAGGTTTCCTCCTGAGCCCGACAGCTGTGCCTCAGCGCACGCAGCTGATCTCCAAACGCAAGCCCTGCAGAGTCTGAGGGTGCTTTTCACGGGGGGGAGTCAGTATTTTATTCTGACGTTATTCAAACCACTACTGAACCTATCAGTGCTTTTTGTAACAAGGCATTTTGCTGATATTCTGAACATATAGACTAAGTTCTGTGCATATAACCCACATCCCTTTTCCTTGGCCTGATGTCTGACACACCGTGAGCAGGTTTCCGTGCCGAAAGCCCCCCCAGCGCCCCGTGGTCCCCGGCTCCCCCCACCCCAGGTGGCCGCTGCCTGCTGGCACTCCTGCCCTCCCCAGGGGAAACGGCGTTTTCTGCAACTGGAGAGGGAGTCTGGTTGTTTCTGTTCAAAACATGAGTTCTCACCAAAATTTGTATCCTTATCTTTTCTGACTTACTAAGTTTACTCAAAGGAGCTGGCAGTGTAGGTGGCCTGACAATGGTTTGTGTGGCTCGGTGAGCCGTGGGCTGAGTCAGAGCTGCCAGCAGCAGTGGCAGTGCCCTTCCCTGGAGCGGGATTGCCCTCGGGGAGAGGGCCAGGAGAGGGCCAGCAGGGAGCCCCAGACCCCCGAGTGCTGCCCTTCGTTACCTGGGCCGGCACTGATCCCTTGGGAAGTGCAGCTGTACGGCCGGGTGGGGGGTACCCCAAGGACAGGGCCCCTTGCGGCCGGCTTAGCTAAGGGGAGGGGTGTACTGCTGGGCGAGTGTTGGGGCTGTGGCACTATTTAAGCTTAAATAGCCATTTGCTCTATGCTAGTGAAGCCATCCGAGTGACTTACAGAATAACAAAGCCCACAGTTTTGATTCCGCCAGGGACCCCAAGGCATCGATGAGATTTTTACAGGTTGCTTTCTTGTGGCTGATAGTGCAGTGCCCATCCCACGCTGGCATGGGCTGGCGGAGCTGCTGGAGCTTTAGGGATGTCCCCACACCTCCCTAACACCTTGTACAGCAGAACAGCCTTAAAAATTAAGAAAAAGTGGTGTTTGGAAGAGCAGGCTCTGGTTCTGCAGCCGCGCGGGCAGTGCTGGGGGGGGGACTGGGTGCTGCCTGCAGGAAACCTTCCCGCTGGCCTTGGCTTTTGTGGGGCAACTTTGGGGTTTCTCAGGCTTTTACACTGACCTGAAGTAAACGCTTCTCGTAATTTGACTTTGCAAGAGTTCAGCTTTCTTCCTGTTGAATAGGGGAAAAGGCATTGTAAAGGGAGTGGGGTGAAAATCCATTTCTCAAACGACTCTGTTGTTCGTGGTGGGCCTGTCGGGCTGTGCTCAGGGAGCGGATTCTCAGCGACTGGCAACAGCGTCCTTCAGTTTGTTGGTTTTGACTGTTTCTCCTCACTTCTCCTTTCCTGATTAAGCTATGGCCCGTAAGAATATTGCCATCTCAAAATGTTTTAACCATGCTGATGCTGCGCTTTAGAGGCTGTGACAATGTTAACTGGAGCAGCAGCAGCACCGACAGAACAAACAAGCTCTCGGCGATCGTGGCTGTTGGGGGGAGCAGGGGGAGGAGAAGACAGGACCCAGACCTGCCCCCAGCGCCGGGATCCCTCGGCCTGCAGCAAACGGACGTGTCTCGGGGACTGGTCACGTCTGTGCGTGGCCACTGGTCCCCTGGTGCCCGCAGCCTGTGGCATGCGGGCATGGGGGCTGCGGCTTTCGCCAGGGGACTTCGGCCGGGAGAGGGGACCTGCCCCCAGACCCTGGGCCTCAAAGCGCAAGGCCAGCCCGGCTGGGCAGGATGATGGCAGGCGGGACGGCAGCCCCGGGCCGGGGCCGGAGGAGAAGGCAGAGCAGAGACAGAAAAGGTCACCCCAAAAAAACAGTCAGTCCAAGCTCCCCGCATCGGGCACAGCCCGCGGTGGCAGCACCTCCGTTTGTCTCTCACTGTTGGCACCAGTCTGGTTTTGACAGGTTTTTCAATCACTCCCTGTGGGAAAAAGTCCTTGCAGCTGGACGTGCTGGATCTCAGCCGCAGTTTCACGTTGATGCGTCCTCCTGGCTTGGCTCAG